CACAAAAGCTTTACATCAAAACGCCATTTATTTCGACACAAAAGTTGTGTTCATTTGAATGAAAAGAAATACAAATGTAATGAAGAAAAATGTGGCAAATCATTTACAACAGCACATGATTTAATTGTTCACAAACAAATACATTCGGGAGAAAAACCATTTGTTTGTCAATTTAATGGTTGTAATAAAGGTTATGCACAGAAATCAGCTTTTAGTCGACATTTGAAGATCAAAAATCATGTAGCAAAAAAACACCCTTCTTGAATTATTAGTTCATGGTATTTAAATATGTTAAATGTATTGCCCAATATTGTAGTATTAAAATTGATATTGTAAACTATTGCTAGCCAACCTTTTTTAGAATATCACATATATGGATTCACAGTGTGCCCTAAAAAGGTGGCGCAACGATCAGTAAAAAGTTTAGATTTGTTAGTATTAAACAAGAAACACCACGTGAAGGTCAACCTAATAGTTTCTCACCCATTTTTATAGTGGTTGGCTTTCAGTCTATCCACAAAACGTCACTTAAAACAAAATTTAATTCACATTTTAATTAGATTTTTGATATTGTTTGCGATTATCAATAATTTTATTAATGTTTGACTCAATCGTATTCGTTGACCATATTTTTAAACGTGATCTCAATGTTTTTTTGGAATAACGATTAGTTTTGTCATTTTTAATTGATTTCATTAATGAAAAAAATTGCTCACAATCAAAAGTCGATCCAAAATATGTTAGAATTGTTAATGCATTATTGATTAATAATGGGAATTCGTCAATATTAAGTTGAGTCAAATGCAGTCAATCCATACGATAGCTATCGTATGGTTTTCCCAAAATTTCAATGCATTGAACCTTTCACATATAACGTTACGTTTTTTTTATATAAATTTTATACCCTCTGTGTATAATATGTTCATTCATTTAAATGATTAATAATTTTTAATCCAAACTTTAAAACATAATTTTTATGTTGTTTATGACAATTGGCTTTTCTACTCCAAGTCTCTAATAGAGACTTCGTTGGCGACCAATATTGTAAACGATAAAACGTATTATTAAAATAATTTGTTATTTTTACTTGTTCATAAAAATAAAAACAACAATTAGATGCTTAAACAATATATTTTATTATATATTAATATTTTTGAATTAAATTTATTTCTAATCATGACGATTATAGGAAGTAGTCGGCCCACACGCCATCACAAGTTTCATGAAACGGGTCACTCAGTACGAGCCGTAAGTCCTTTGGGTCCAAACCGTGGACTTTGGGCGCACCCATCGGCTCATCGTTTAACAGTTGCGGCCAATCAAAGTCCATGTGACTGTTAATTAAACAATTTAATGTTTTGTATAACACGTGATAATTAGTTAGCATGTGTTAAACAAAATATTAAATTAAACAATTATTGTATTAAAATAATAGTTATTAAAACTTATAAGAATATAAAAAGAGTTTTTAGCTTTATAGATTATAAAGTTTGCAATGTTTGATAATGTACAATAGTCAATCTAATTTACCCGGTTTTGGCAAATGTGGTCCACATTTTCATCACGTATTTACTGAAATAGTTATCGTCGGAACTGTAGTCGTTTGGGTAACGGAGTGGTAAACCCCAGACAAACGGGTGATCCTGCATGTGACAAATGCCCATGGTGGTTAGATCGCACCATGTCTCATTAGCAAAGTATTCACTCGCGTACAACAACTCGTAAAAGTAAACCCTTTGCGACTCTTTGACAGTTTGTGCGAACCGTTTGGCGAACAGATATGTCGGACATATGAAGTTTATATCACTGAATAGTGCGGTCAATGCTGTGCGCAGTGCCGCTGGACTACTAGTGTTGACACCTTTCAGGTAATGTTCCGTCACTTTCGATACATTCACGTTATAAAAGCCCAATAATTCCATGGATTTAAACGCGTTTTGAAAGTCCGCGAGTGTCACGTGATTCGGGTCTTTGACAATAGTGCCCAAAGTCATAGACCCCTCGTCGTGGTTAATGCCACCCATTAAGTCGATATCTATGTATATAATATTAAAATCACTTAGACAGTTTTAACAATATATTTAAATTGTTTACTAAAAATGTCATTTTTAAGATGTAATTTTACACAATAAAATATTATTTTAATTTAAAGTTAATTATTTACAATGCTAAATTATAACTAAATTTTACATAAATAATTACTTAAAATTTTAGTTAAGAAATACTTTACCCACATCCAGTGAAAATGGTATTTTGTTAAAATATATATTATTTATCTCCGTTTTTAACTTTTTTGTATTTTTATAATTATTTATTTTTATGTTATAATTAGTTATAAATACCTGAATTAAACCTTTTTTCATTAAAGGCCTGTCGGGCAGATATAGGTAGAAATTCTGTACCTAATAACGGGTATGTGTCGTATTTAACTTGATAGCCATACACTTCGTATTTTAAAAATATCTTTGCGTCCACTCTTTGCAGACATTGTATCCAATCCTCGGTTTCATTGCATTTCTGGTCTTTGGCTATAAATTTTGCCAGAGATAAGGCTTCGGTTGTGTTAAACACATCCCAATCCTTATTGAACAGATGGGCACCGCTTTGCATAATAGCCCTCTTGAATAGGCCTTTGGATAGCGGGGAGAGTATGTGTGCGGACACCGACCAACTCCCGGCGCTCTCACCAAAAATGGTGATCTGATCCC